ACCCAACCCCCCATCACCCCCCCACCCCCCCCCCACCACCCACGCCTCCACAACCCACCCCCCCCCTCACCCCTCCCCCGCGCCGCCCCCTCCTTCTCCGCTTCATTCTAACTCCTCCCCTTCCCAAATAATTAATATATATTTATAACTATCCCTATCATATCATATCATTTTAATATATATAACATCAATACCTAAAATAATAGTTATCCACAATATGATATATATTATATATCATAAATAATTATAAATTATATCGCATACTACTGATCTATATATACATCTATATAGATTTTATCAATAAATATATATAAATAATATAAATTATTTATATTATATTCATTATTTTTTTAATATACATCTTTGGTTTTTGTCATACTCTCAAATTATAAACTATCTTCCCACGTACACGTCCACCCACCAATCTGATATCACTCACTCGCTTATTTGTATAGGACCATGTTCTGGATGTCATTTTGTGGCAGTAGTGCATTTTTTGTTAGGATTTCATGTTACATTACGTATCACTCAATTATTATGGTAATTGTATATCGTTAGCCTCCCACCAGGTTTTTATGTCCGTTCGCCCATGTGAATATCAGCATGTCCTCAACCCACTATATCCCTTAGGCACGAGCTGGTCATCTATGGTAATACTAGTAGGATGGCACGTATTTGAACGTTGATAGGACATACACACTTAATGTTGACGTAGTTGATTCCTGATAATTTATAATATATATGAAAGATACTGGTGAAAATCCTTTATATTTTTGTTATGTAAGTCCCTTAGTGTCATATTCGTGATATTTCTTATGATTAGGCCGTGATTATGTTATGTACTATTTATTGTATGAAGAAATATTTATATAATCATTATTCCTGATTAGTATTATTAGTTTTTTTGGTTCTTAAATTCTTATTTTTTTCCACTTACACATATACATAGTTGATCAATCTATATACCCACTATAAAAGCTGTAAACTCAAAATGAAACATTGATTATAAGAAATTTTATTTCTATTACAAATACAACGAAAATATGAATGTCACCGAATCCCATAATGAGAAAAAGGAATATAATTCCTGTAGACATACAAACTGAAAAATGAATACAATGTCCTATCAATTAGACTTCGACCGCTACCACGCACATGCCTCCTTGCCCTCCTCCTAGTCGGGATATCGCCATGCCTCATTGCACTCTGGAACAGTCCACTGACACCTGATGTACATAGTAACCCCTCGGTGACAGGACGATAGCGATATCACGGATTGTAACTATCCGCCATTCGCCTAAAGCTAGCCTCCAATGATAAATATATCAAACAATTAAAGTAAACACGGTGAATCAAAATTTAATAATATAAGCAATGGAAAAATAACATACCAGGGCGCCAAATATGAAGGTGGAGGACAGATCTACGATGGGGTCGTTGCCTCCTGTGGAACATCGGGCGCTGTCTAGGTGCAAGAGCCGGTCGCGCGTCATCTGCAAACAGATAATATAAGGATGTGAAACCCTCCTGAACCATGAATTACCCATCAGACACAGTCAAAAGGGGATGCTCATGTCTGACATTACTCACAACGTGAGCTCTGAAAGTGCAACCAAACATGATCAATGCCATACATCTGCATCTGACACCGTAGTCGGTTTGATGTGAATGTCTTGCTGGAAACCCACTTGCCTCAGCAGACAACGCTTCAGGAAAATACGACAAAGGGTGTCACACCATCCGAATCACATCCAGAATACTACAGATTCGAAGAATAGGCGGATGCCTCGATGCCCCTCATACGGATGCCAACACCTCACTGTTGTCGTCACGCATCCAACTGTGACCGAATCTCTGCGAGAGTGGAACTCTGCCTAGGGCTCTGCCACCTCATGGCACGTGGTGTGGTATTATCGTAAGAAGTCACCAACAGCCTCCTCCCCATGCTAGGGAAATGTTCGTATATCCAACTCTAAAAAATAATTATTCAATTAAATTTCATCCATCTTCTAACATGGAAATAAATACATGAAATAAATGTCAAAGTTATAACTGTACCTGAAATAGAGTCAAATATCCAGCCATCTGCTTCGTGGAGGCGAGACTCGTATCCTCGAGCTGGTCGTACAAATAGGCGAGTGTAGCAACACCCCATGCATATCTACCACACGCGTGTACGTCTCTAAATAACAATAAGTAAGACACATGTATATAACTGGCACTCTTATTTGCAAAAATCGTGCATCCTACTAGATGCAACAAATATGCTCTAGCAGCATAGTCCTAATGCTGCGACTCACACCTTTGAACATATATCTCTCTAAGCCAGTTGAGTTTGACTTTCGGACCACGTGCGTCCTCCATCTCAGCACCTGCTGTGCCACCATCAACGCCGAGCAGTTGCACAAGGGCTGTACGAGCCTCCTCAAACTCCAACTCCTCAAAATCACACATTTGTCCCATCACGGGCAGGTGAAGTAATGTCAAGACGTCATCAAGAGTAATCGACATCTCCCCTATAGGGAGATGGAAACTACTGGTCTCAAAATGCCACCTCTCTATGAATCCGAGGAGTAACCCCTTATCAACGTAATCATAACAAATCCCTATAAGAGGCATCAAACTAGAATTCAACACAATGTGTTGAATTCCCTCGTCGCATGGTCCTAACTTACATTTTTTCCGTGTGAGATCAACTTCAGTGTGTCCCCTCGATCCTACACATCAATATTTAATAAAATTTCCATTAAAAAAATAATAAAATAAATTTTATTTTTGCACTCACCCGGCCTTGTGAAATAGCATAAGCTACATGCTGAACATAGTGTGTCAGCAATGAATCATCACGTGGACCTCCAGGAAATCCACCGACATCCTCTTGTATGTCATGAACATCCGCATGCTCCTCCTCATCGTCATCGTCGTTAGGGGCCTTAAATGCATTCTCCTCACCATGAGTCTCATACGCCTCATATGTTTATTCCTCAACGGCTCGCTCCTCAGCTATGGGGTCATCCTGGATAGGAGCTGCACGACTTCTACGAGCAAAAACGATAGGTCTTCTCCGAGCTTCGCCCTGGGACGAACTCTCTCCTCGAGAACTCTCACCTTGAGAACTAAAAGATGCACCACGTGTTCTTGCCATTTCTAACAATAATTTGTTTCTTTAATTTCAAAAATTAAGAAAATTATTGTTTTAAATATCATTAATAAATTATAAAAAATGCAATTCAAAATAAATTAAACTAATAATAATTAATTTATTAACTATAACAAAAATTAAATAAAAGAAACAATTAGCTAATTAATTAAAAATATATATTTAAATACATTTCCATTTAATTATTATTAAATTAAATATTATTACAAATACAAATTTATTATAAATAAATTAAATACAAATACAAATTTACTAATATTAAATACAATTAAATTAATAATATTTATTTCAAGAAATAAAAATAATTTAAATATATAAAAGTTTACATATCTAATTCAAAAACTTAATCAATTTATTTAGAAACTATAAATTGAAAATTTTATGAAATATTCAAATAATAATATAAAAGGTTAAAGAAAATCTAAAAATAACTATATATATATATATATATATCAAATAACTATATTTAAAAAAATTAAGAAAAAATATATCAAATATATATTCTAATTATAATAATTCTACAAACAATTAAAATATTAAAAAAAAAATACAGCATCCCGAGAGCAAAACGGATGTGGGATGTCCGATTGGCCTTCAACGGATATCTCACATCCGTCGATGGAAGTCGGACATCCGTCGAAGGCTAACAGATGTCCCACATCCGTTTTGACCTTTCGTGGACACTGTTCAAATGCGCTCAAGCAGAAAGCACAACAGATAAACGGTGGTGAACGGAGAACAAACCTGGACGGCGCTGATCCACGCTCCTCCACGCCAGATGAACGACCTCCTCCGCACCAACGGCTGCTCCACACCAAATGGTCTTCCACGGAAAAATGAAGAAGAAAGAAATGGAGGAAGAGAAGTGAAATGGAGAAGAGGGTTGAAGTGAAATGGAATACGGAAGAGAGATTGTTCAACGGAAATGGAAGATGGAAAGTAAGGTGGAGGAAGTAAAGTAGAAAAGTTAAGTTTGAAATAAATTAAAATAGTAAAAGTAAAAAATTTTAATCTGAAGATATAATTGGAATTAAAGAAAATTGGGGAGGTGGAGGGAGAAAACTGTGGTGGTGGAGGGAGCAACACCCTTAGGCTTTTAGTTCAAGGCCCAATATGGAATAATACTGTTTTCCTAAACAAAAAAAAGCTTTTATTTCTGCACCCCACAATTTCTTTGCACATCCCACCATAATTTTCAAAAGGACTACTTTACGATATTTCAGAATACACATTTCAGAAACTTTCTGAAATTTCTAAAATAAAATTTTTGAAATAGAATTTCTGAGATCAGATTTTCATATCAGAATTTCTGGAATAAAATGAAAGATTTTCATATCAGAATTTCTGGAATAAAATGAAATACATTATGGAAAAGGATTTTCCTTAATGTAGTTTGGTTCACGTAAAATTAGTGAGGTTTAACTTTGATTTATATATATAAAAAAAGTATCTTTTATTCCTTCAAATTTTGAAACAATTGTTTTAGTTTTAGTTATATTGAATATTTCCCTTAATTTATATTCCCTTATATTTTAAATCATTGTTTTTAATAGCTGATGTTGAATTTAAGATAGACAAGTATACTTTATTTTAGAAATTTATAAGAGTTTTTTTTAAGTGTAACATGTTAACATTATAACATATTGCTATTATGATACATAGGATCATAAGTTTTATTTGAATATTAAAACATGTAATCTAAGATAAATTTCACTTAAACTGATGTAACGGTAGTTAATTATTATGATTTAATTATTTAGTTTAATTATACCATTTAAGAGCTAAAAATGAATTTAATTACAAAAGTAGGAAACAAAACAGATAGTTAGTAACGATGAACATAATCGCAGTTATATAAGTCAAATGAAGAATTTCCAAAGCCACCACAACGAAGTTTTGTTGGACACGTTTTATTCAACTCACTCACATGCCGTTATCATCATCATCCATCCTTGCGTGAAGAAATCAATGTGTGAAGGGACGCAGGAACCACCCATAGACGCCAGGAGATGGCGGTCCGATCAATCAACCGGTTGAGAAAGGTCCACGTGGCACGCAGCACCTGACGTATGTTCGTGAGTGAAGCGATTGGAACCGTCGGACAGAGCAGCGGTTCCGTCTACTCGCGATCTCCACTGTTAAATCAGTCAAGATCAAGCTTCTCCTCTGTTGCTGCGTCGCCCTCACGCTTCTCGCCTTCTCCGCGAGCGCTTCTTCCTTCGTCCTATGGAACAACCAAAAGCCTCTTCCCCCTCGCTTCTCCGATTCCAGGTTCTCATTCTTTCCTTCCTTTCTCTTTTCCTCACTTCATTTATTTATTTCCAAAAAAAAAAATATAATTTCTTAATATGGATAATTCCAAAAGTTAAATTAAACGATTAAGATCGCTTCGTTTTTGGCAACAGATTTTTTTTTTTGAAAACATTTTATTTTTTTTGCATTTCAGGGATTTCCATATGTGTGTTGGCTTCTCAGATTCCGTTTTGTTTGAATTCGTTGTTTTCCTATTTTCTGCATTTGCGTGAAAAAAATAAAATAAACAAAAAAAAGGATATGTACGTCTATAGATTTTATTTGCGAGGTTAATTTTGGAAATAGCTTAGGAGGGTGAAACAATCGTGGCTTTGGATGCAAGCTATTTAAATGATCGGTGTTGTTCTGAAAGAATTTTTTCAATAGTAGAAAGACGAATGGTTTTTTTGGGTCTTGGGATCTTTGAAGTTGATGTTTGGGAAATATGTTCTTAGTGTCACTATAACTATTACTGTCCTTTACAGTTTATTCATTGCCCGTGTTTTGTTGTCAAGCTATAAGATATTAGATATTGTATGGAATTTGGGTTAAGAAACCATGTACCTATGGTTTATATTAGGAGGCTCATCACCCTTTTATGAGTTTTTCTAACTCACCAAACAATATTGAACTGAAAATCGAGTGAATACAATAGGATTTGGGGTTTGCTGATTTAGAATTTTGATTAATGCCTAGAACCTATACTGAGGGGAACTCCAACCTTCTTAATCATATATTCTTGATAAATATGTTCGTGGTGTTTGGTCTGGGATTGTTTTTTTTTTTCATTCAATATTTTATTTTCTTAAAGACTAAGTAGCTTATGTTGCTTGTGATGTCATGTGACTCATCATTGTTTAATATCTTGGAGTCTTTTGAAAAATTTATTAGTTGGTCATTCTACTCTACCTAAAGGCACACGGTTAGGGACGCATCACCTCTGGGCGGGCAATTTTGGTCATTCTACCCATTAATATTCCTATAAATCTGAATAATTCTCAAAACCAAATCTCATTTAAAAAGTGTCCTTTATAAACTACTGGATAATATTTTGTCTGGTCAACTATTAAATCAATTTTTTTATTAGGTGGAGCTAGATTGGATGGTCAAAATAATTCAGAGAACGAACAGTAAAGTTAAAGTATATTATTAATTTCAAAATCATTTTATTTAAAGATTTAATTACGATTAATTATGATTGGATTGTAGGTTATGTATTAATTATGTATTTTTTTTTTGTTATCTAAATTACATTGACTTTGGTTTGAGAGGACCAAATACGTATCCCAACCATAATAACATGAACTTGATGATCAATTGAAGATCATGCGTTGAAGAGAAAATTCGACTCTATACATCTAAAACATAAACAATTATTTATTTTTTTAAAATTATTTAATTATTTTAACATAAATTCGGTAATAAATAATTGTCCTTTATAAACACTTTTTTTTTTTCAAATTAAACTAGTTAATTATTTTGACATAAATGCTATAATGTCATTATTGTTTATTCCGTGTTTATGTGATCTCCTATGTGATCAAGTATGCTAGTGGGAAAAGGGACATATAAGACTAGGCAAAGGTTAGAAATGGGTCTAACACGGTATAGCCCCAAAGTTAAAATTCTTCATACTATAAGGCTAGATAAAGATCAGAGGCAGAACATTTTTCATGTTGATAAGATATCTTTATTATTATAATTATTGGCTGATATTCTGATTAATTAATAAGATATTTGTATTAAAAACCTTTGGTAAAATTAGATAAATACTTGCCATAATTAATAAGATATTTGTAATTAAAAACCTTTCTTAAAACTAGATAAATACTTGTCATTATTTCGAATAAGTGATTATATTGAGATCAGACCACCTTCAACAAATATGAACCGATAGATAGACTTCGGTCTTTAAGGGAGAAGACTTACTTTAAAGTTGGTAGGTCGAAATCATACTTATTACCATACAATCTCTCAGGTCTTGAGCAATAAAACTAAACTTTAAAGTATGTTCGAATTTAGTCTGTCATTATATTTTCTTAAACAAATAATTGATCTCTTTCCTACTATGACTCGATGAGAGAGCTCTCATAATAGCTCAGTGAGAGAGCTCTCAAAATGACTCCACAAAGATGTATGCATAAAAAGTATGCACATAACACAAATTATAAAAATTACTTTTTATCATCTTTTATTAACCAATCTTATAGTACAAAAGAAATTGAAAATGAAATCTATAATTTTGTCATTACCTAATGTTGGAGTAGGATTTTCTTGAAAAAAATGGGCATCGGAAAAGGTTTCACTAAATCCCACAATGGTGTCAAAGTTTTACAGTCAAGAAGTATGAAAACTTTTAGTTAGAGCATTCTAACTGTCTATGTCTTGTTTATCATATCCCTTTCTATATTCATATAAACTTATCCCATTAATATTCAAGATTAATCCTAATAATCCTTAAACGCTGACTTTATTCATAAAATGTCCTTTATAAATTAACATTTATTCTCTTAATTGAATGAAAATCTTATTATTGGACATAAGACTAGGTCAAAGTTCGGAAATGAACTTAACACCACACGTTCATTTTTACCAAGGTGAAACTAAATCGAGAATATGCAAAAATAGTGACGAAATTCAAAAATTGATCATTCGAGTGAAAAGTGAAGGAAAGTTTTTTTTTTCTTTTTCTTTTGCATTTAATGCATCTCCTTATAAGTGTTAGCTATTCAGATCCTGTTTTATTTGTATTCGTCATTTTCCAATTTCATGTTTCCTACATATAATATTTGGAAAAAAAAAACATAAAGAAAAGGATATGCGTGTGTGTAGGTTCTATTTACGAGATTAATTTTGGAAAGAGCATATGGGGGTGAACCTGAGGGTTAGCTATCGTTTTTTTGGAAGCAAGCTATTTAAGTGATCGGTGTTTTCCCGAAGGAATATTTGCATAAACAGTTTAATTAAAGTAAAAGCAAAAGAGGATGAAAGAATCAAAGAAGAAACAGCTGGTATGCATAATATAATTGACTACTCCTAAAAGTATATATAAATTACCCTTTAAAAGACTTTAATCTCAATTGTAAATAGTAATGTAAGACTTGTAACTTTTTTTCCACAGCTTCTTACAAAAGTAAATTTTAAAAAATGATGAAGTATAAACTATTTGGTCAACATAGACTAAATCAACAATTGTGTCCAATTATACTTGTTAAAAGAATATGGAAGTAAATAACAAAGTATAGTCACCATCAGCAGCGATGATAACTAGAAGTTTAACAGAGGATAACTTGTTTCTTTGACACCCAAGGTCACCTACTCACTAGTCTCAAATTGTCAATTGATAATCTGACTTCAATCTAGTTCTTACTAGTTTCTGATCCCTTAAAGATTCACTTATTAATGGATATTGTACTTTATTTAGTTTCGTTTATTATGACCCTTCAACATTGACTCTCCTTTTCTTGTTTAGATACTCAGGTGCTGGATTTTGTTGATCGAGTTCAAAAGTTAAGATCTTGATTTTGAGAATAGCAACTATTCAACTATTGGGATACTTAGTTTCATCAAAATGAGGAGGCGTCAAGTTTTGAAACATTCAATTGCTCTTGTAAGCATGTTGGTGTGTGTCTGCTGTTTTTTTATCGTGACCATGACTGTTCTCAAGCTTCCAGACGCCCCAATAAAGGAAAGTGCAATGGGGTTTTACCCAATAACGAGATCCAGAAAAGTTTTAATTCAAGATGGCAACTTGTGCAAGTTTGGAGAAATGATGATTGACATGTTGCCTCGAGATCATGCTTTTACTGTGTTTGTTCCATCCGAGGAAGCGTTTAAGCGAGATCTACGTCTGTCAGTGAACGATGCTTTGAAATCGGACAGGTTTAATGATACTTATGCGATTTTAACTCGTATATTGGGATTTTCAACTGTCCCTCGTGCACTTCTTTCCTCTAATGTGAAATTGGGTGAGCTTGTGAACTATGATTCGTTATCTGGGTTTCCCTTGTACATTTCAAAAGATATCGACGAAATGCTTGTTGTTAACAGGATTCGATCAGAAATAGTAGATGTTAGAAAAAACGAGATTGTTGTGCATCTCATGGATGGGATTATAATGGATGCTGAATTTGAGCAATCAGTTCTATCTGACAATGATACAGATGAGGATTGAAAGTATATGGGAGATGCTGAATTAGTAATTGTTGGAAATAACAATGTCCCTGGAACTCCAAGAATCATAGCCTTGGCTGAACTTGTTGTATTACCAACATCAATTATAAGGATGAATACACTCTAAAATTATTATTAGCAACGTGAAGGATACAAAAGTGTAGCACAAAGACCTTCTGGCTTTTCTTAGTGCCGTTCTTCATTCATATAAACTGTCAGTGCCATTCTTCCCTCGTAATAAACTGTCAATTCCAATGTCGATTTAGTTTAAAGAATCACTTCCAACTCCTTTTGACTTCTCCCTGCAGATTTGGATTTCTTTATTCTTCTTTTCAAAATGTTGATCAATGCGATTCCACCATATGTATAATATTTTTTGAAGGAAGATTTCTAATAGTTAACTTGACGTTTGGATTTATGAATTTATAAAAAAGGTTGTTGTACCAGCAGGGACCGGACGTCGTACGGAAGGATATTCACGTCATTGGATTGCCAAATGGACCGGCCACCCATCTTAACGTATGAGACCCAGGAAACTACGCTTTCGATGAAGGGTTGTATCGTAGGGCGGCCGCCCATATACCCCCGTGATCACACTATCGTGAAAGGTTATGCATGGCAGGGCGGACACCTGTGCGCCCACACTGAAGACTCATCCGAAGCCGGCCGCCCATGCCGTGAGCCCGTCAGGACCGGCCGGTCTTGAGGATAAGACCAGCGAGGGCGGCCGGCCGGCTGCGTTACTAATCATCTTAGTTTAAGGTAAGTAGGGTTTAAAAGCTATTGGGCTGAATTGGGCCGTGATTAATTCTTCACTAATCCCAAGCCCATAGCGAAAACTATAAATACAGATCCAGGGTGAGTGGTAGATAGGTTGCATTTACTGCACATTCATTACTGTTTGAGAAAAACGTCTTAGCTCTCAACTGACTTTGGCATCGGAGAATCTTTTGCAGGTCTCCCACCGGCGAACTGAGAAGCGGACACAGAAGATCCGACGTACAGAAGACGAGAAGCGAGTGACGTGGAAACGTGGGACCAGCACTACCCCCTCACATCCGAAACAGTTGTACTTAGGTCTTTTTTTATTTTATAAAATGATAGACTTTTAAGTTTAAAATATATTTTAGAAAGTGGTGGATCGTTTTGTGTCAAATCATCACCATTTGCTAGTATACATCTTCTCAAGTTTCCTATTTTCTTATTTGTTTTTGAGTTTTCGGCTTCCATAATTATTTGGTGCATCTTAGTTACAAAGTAATATAGAAATGTACTAATGGTAATAAGCATTGGATTTTTAGTTAAGCAAAAAGTGGGAACTAATTTATTTACATAATTTGACGTGTTTATATATAATATTTTCACATGTTTATAAATCATTTTTTAATATGCATATAAATATTACAAATTTAATTAATTCAAATTTGGTCTTATTCTGGTTTGCCTCAACTTCTACTCTTTTTCATTTTTGTAGTGGAATGAAAATAATAACATCATGAAAATGTAACACTTTTTATATCATCAAAGGAATTGTGTAGCTAGGCTTGAGGATTAATGTTGAGTGCTGACAGGTGATTAAGAAAAGTTTAAATCTTGTTTGTGCATTGAACATCAAAACGAGGCATTGGGAAATGAAGGAAATCCTCTAGTGAAAAAAACCTAAATTGATGGAGAGTTTAAGCACCAAGGTGAAGAGCTAAGCTAAGAGAAAACCTTCGTAGTGAGAAAACCTCACAGTTAAATATCAAGGCAAAAGCTTAATTCATAAGAAAACCCTAGGAGGAAACCGCTATGGCTGAGCATTGAAGACTAAAGCTAAGCATCAAGTCTTATTTCTTTAAAACCAGTGTTTTGTTATGTTAGGGAGCTTCCTTTTAATTCTCTAGTGTACCAGACGACCCCCGGACGACTCCAGAAAAAACACAAGAAATGACCGGTAGGACTCGAGCACCTAGAGCGGACGGTCAGGATAGGTAGGTCTGCAGAGGTGATTAACGTAAAGCACCGATTAGAGGGTTGAGCTCTGGATTGGGTTGTAATTAAGGCCCTGCTAATCCTAGGCCCATGATCAAAACTATAAATACAATTCAAAGGTAAGAGGTAGGCAGATTCATTAATTATGCATTTATTGTAGTACCTAAACAACCGATCGGACCTTTACTAACTTAAGCTTCGGAGCACCTTTAACAGGTATCCTCCCAAGCGTACAGGACGGACGGACGTTGACCTACAAAAGGAAGGATCGCGAGGAGACCAGACGAACGTAGCGAAGAACGCGCAGATTCAGGTGACTCGACCCCATACAAAAATTCATCTTGGTCGCCATCGACTATTTCACCAAGTGGGTAGAGGCCGAGGCCCTCGCGAGAATAACGACCAACAGGTTCAAAAATTTGTATGGAAGATAGTATGCCGGTTCGACCTCCCACGAACGGTAGTTACCGACAATGGTATGCAATTTATTGACAGAAAGCTAGGGTCGTTTTATCAAGGTCTGGGGATTAAACATGTTACGAGTTCGGTGGAGCATCCCCAAACGAACAGTCAGGCAGAGGCCGTGAATAAGACAATAGTGGCTGAGCTTAAAAAGAGATTGGGAAAGAAAAAGGGTGCGTGGGTGGACAAACTCCCTGAAGTCTTGTGGGCGTACCGGTGCACCCCACACGGGACCACCGGCGACACGCCGTTCACCCTCACTTACGGCACTGACGCCATGTTACCAGTAAAATTGGGGGAACTCTCCTTGCGGTGACAACCACAAGACCCTCTACTCAACGACGAAGAACTTAGAGTAGAGTTGGATACTCTGGAAGAACGTCGCAACCGAGCAGTCCTCAGGGCAGAAGCCTGCAGACGAATGGTGGAGAGAAAGTACAAAACCAAGGTACGGCCCCGAAGCTTCAAGGAAGGCGACTTGGTCTAGAGGAAGACGGGAGACGCACGAAGAGTGCCAACCCATGGCAAACTCGTGGCAAAGTGGGAGGGGCCCTGCAGGGTAACTGAAGACCTTCAGAATGGAGCATACCGTTTTTCCCACCCGAACGACAAAACCATTCTTAATATGTGGAACGCCTTGCACTTAAAATTTTACTTCAGTTGAATTTGTCCTTGTAATATCTTTTTCATTTTAGATATATAATACAATGCTCCGGGTTTTCACTACTCGCATTACTTAACTACCTGCACATTAACCAGAAACCGGGCTGTTCATAAAAAGAAAATGGGTAATTGGGTGGTGAATGATGAGTTCATAAATAGAACCACTGCCACCCAAAAGCTAATATACCGAACGGGTGATGAATGACGAGTTCATAAATAGAACCACTACCACCCAAAAGCTAATAAACCGAATGAGTGGTGAATGACGTGTTCATAAATAGAACCATTGTCACCATAAAGCTAATAAACCGAACGAGTGGAGAATGGCGAGTTCATAAATAGAACCACTGCCACCCGAATCCAAAACTAACAAAATGATCAAGAGGCGAACGACGAGTTCATAAAAATAACCCTTGTCGTCCGACGTGAAGAACGACGAATCTAACAATGGAGCCACTACACTCAAGAAAAATAAATTTGTGAAATGAACTCCCCTACCGAACGGTCAAAACCCAACAAAGTCTCTTAGCAGTATAACTTTCAAAAAGCATAAAGTATCTTAAACGGAAGATAAAGTAAACGGTCAGACGATAAAGCATCGTTTAAAAAAAAAAACTTCAAAGTTCATTATGAGAATTCAAGTTTGTAATTACAATCAGAAATGAACGGCCACCGGCTGGTAAACAAACCAATATAACCCCCACAAAAAGCAAAAAACACTCCTCCCCACGCTCAATTACTCTTCATCATCCCCGTCCGAGCGCACGTCTTCCTCAATTGCCACATCCTCATTAACCGGTGAAGTAATGACCGACATCATCTTCCCGTCGTAGATGTCTTGGCCGATGTCAAAACTGGCAGCCAAGGGATCCGCCCCCAACATGAAAGCCGCTTAACTGAGGGCCTTATTGAAGCCCTCCTCGTGCTCAATTTGAACATTAGTGTTCAAAGTGGCAATGGCCTCATTGGCCCTCTCCACCTCTTCGGTCAGGCGGTCCACATTACTCTGCAGCTCTTTCTCCCTTTCCGTCAGCCGCCTTGCCTCCAGCTTTAGTCGCCCCGCTTCCTCAACTATCTGGTCGCTCCTCTACTGAGTGTCCTTCAGTTGTTGGGCGGTCGTGCTTAGCTCGCCACGTACCTCGCCCATTTCCTCTTGTAATTTGGACTGCTGTTTCCCACACTCTTTATGCTCAAGAGTGAGAGCTTCCAGTTGAGCACGGAGGTCCTCGACGACCTTCTTCTCGGCGGCCAGCTCCGCTTGGACATTCCCAGTGTTTCGCCGATCGGCGAATTCGCGTAGGTACCAGACCAGCATGGCCCCCCGGCTTGCGAACTCCAACGCAACCTCGGTGATGTCCTTCTCTGACATAGGTTCAATCACCGCTCGTTGGGAAGAGCTCGTGTGGAAGCTCACTCGGCCCCCCACGTTAAAGGCAGGGTCAAAGAGGCCGCCCGGAAGAGGATGGGGGGCACTACCCTCTCGGCGACTCCGCTTTGAAGACGACTTCTCCCCTTCCTTAGACTTTCTCTTCTTTTTGTCTAAAGGGGTGGCAGGGGGGACGACCGCCTCCTCAGACGACTCCAGGTTCACAACAGGAGTCGGTTACGCCACCACGATCGTTACTAGGGGATCAGTCACCATCCTCGATTGTACGACTGTCAATCCATGATTGGAACCTCCCGATCGGGGATCCCTCTTCCGGGACGACGTAACGTAGCTAGTCTTGCGGGACGTAACAGGGGTCATGGAGTCGACCGGCACAACATTTATCTTGGGAGGGTCCCTCGTCCAATAAAAGGGGAACAGGGGACTTCCCACTGCGGTGTGAAACTGAGAACGACCGCCTTCTTTGATTATTACTTTGAAGTAACGGTGTTTGAAATTTTTGAAGGACTCAGAGTACGACTGGAATAGACAACAATCATAGATAGAGGTTAGAGAGACCCAGCCCCGCTTGGAGATCGGCCGGACATTAAAGTAGTGAAGAAAGACGAAAACAGTGGGAGTAATCGCTAGGGCCGAACACATTGCCACAAACGCTTGAATACAGGCCCAGCCGTTCGGATGTAGTTGAGAGGGAGCGACGTTAAGCCTTCGAAGCACGACGATTGGAACACAGTGAACGACACCCGAACGAACATCTGGTTGAACAAATATGTATAAACAAAGAACATGTCTTCAGTATGAGCCCCCTTTTTGTGAAAGACTCACTCTTTAGGATGACTAACGCCGAGGCGGATCAAACGGGCGTCTTCTCCATCCCTCGCTATGTATGATCGTTCCACCCACAATCGCAGTTCCTCCCAGGTAGAAAAGTTGGACTCATAAGACCCCACTTCGTGAGAAGCTCAATCGTATACCCCGATCACGAGCCACCCGCCGGCCGGTTCCGCCTGTTCAGCGTCTATGACGATGCCCCCCTGAAGAAGGAAGAGTGATATCCCGTTTATAACCCTCTCGCCACCACCAACGGGAGACTTCGTTACTGATCCCACCCTCCTGCCCGAGCCTTTCAAGATAAGACGAAGACACCGAGCTGGGAGACGATGACCTGCTCCTGTCGGATGACTCCCCGCTTTCCCTGCCCGTTGAACCATCGGAAAAAGAAATGCGAACAGTAGCCATTTATTATTTACCTTGGAAAAAGAATTTTCAGCCGAACGACAGCATTAGGGGAAAAAGAAAGTGTGTGAAAGTGAATGAGCCCCGCACTCCTATTTATAGAAATTTTTTTGAAACCGTTGATCCGTATCCACCGTCCAAATTTGGCACGATCAACGACTCAGATCAACCGACGATCCTACTACTCGAGACAGACGACCTATGACAACGCGACACGTGTTTTCCCGCCCAAACTCAATTCAAAAAGTGTTGACCGGTTACCCGTTACTATAAAAACCCAACGACAATTAGTTGTCTAGGGTTTGGGGGGACTGATGTACTAGACGACCCCCGGACGGCTCCAGACAAAACACAGGGGACAACCGGTAGGACTCGAGCACCTAGAGCGGATGGTCATGATAGGTAGGTCTGTAGAGGTGATTAAGGTAAAGCACCGATTAGAGGGTTGGGCTTTGGATTGGACCGTAATTAAGGCCTTGCTAATCCTAGACCCATGACCAAAACTTTAAATACAGGTCAAAGGTAAGAGGTAGGCAGATTCATTAATTACGCATTTATTGCAGTACCTAAACAACCGATCGGACCTTTACTAACTTAAGCTTCGGAGCACCTTTAACAGGTATCCTCCCAGGCGTACAGGATGGATGGACATTGACCTATAAAAGGAAGGATCGCGAGGAGACCAGACGGACATAGCAGAGAGCGCGCGGATTCAGGTGACTCGACCCCATACAGAAACATCTAGTTTAGAAACTCTCTCTCTACTTCATTATAAATCTTTGAGAGATTTATGGGAAAGTATCAACCACTCTCGGAGCTTGTAAGAAGAATCATGAGCAGATGAACTCTCTTGTATTGAGGTTGAGTGTAGTCTATTCTAATACTATGTATTGTTGCTTATTGATGTTTTATTCAAGTGTTAATAATTTGATTTATGTTTTAAATGTTGGAATGAACTAATCACTCATTTTATAATTGATTTGGATTGAGTTAGGAAACTAATATTAAATTTAAGCTACAACTAGGGATAGCAAAGGGTTGGGTCGGGCATAGATAGTGTTTACCCCGCAACCCGACCCGACAAAAAAAATCCATCCCACCCGACCCACTTCCCGCATGGATATCTGCTTAAAAAATACCCGTGGATATTTTAAAAAAATATATAAAATATAATATATATTAAATTAAATATAAATTAAAATTTAATTTTAATTATATTTAACCTTATAAAATATAAATTAATGTTAATTTTAATTAAATTAAATTTAATAAAATATAAATTAAATTTTTATTTTTATTTTTTGCGGGTAGCGAATATTCGCGGGTACGGATAGTATAATATCTGCACCCGACCCGTTTATAAGCGGGTATTAAAAAACCCGCAACCCGCGGGTAGTAAATATCTGCGGGAATCAACTATCAATCGCGGATATCCTCGGGTGCAAATTTTTTTGTCATCCCTAAGTACAACCAACCATTCATTCATTAATAGTTGAGGAATCATCATTGCGATTAAAGTCCTTATATTTTTAAACTAAAGGAATTGATTTAGAATAGTCACGAATTTTCAATGATACTTGATAATTGCATCATCATATAGTGAGTCAACAATAGTATAGAAAATAGGTGAAGTTAAATCTCAATACATTATAATACATGGCTTATTTCAATCTTACTTAGGTTTCATTTAATCCTTCATTAAACTTCACAAAACAATGTTTTATTGCAAGTCAAATCATCTTAGAATTACTTGACATCTTAAACAAGTCCAAGTCTACGTAGATAAAATACTTGTTTCTGTTGTGCGACTCCATACACTTGCCTTTAGGCGTGTCTCTATTCTTGTTGTCCAAAATTATCATCATCAAACACATGGTGCTAGTGTTGTGTAAGGAGTTTTAGAATCCATTTTTGGTGAATTGAAGCAAGGTGGGTTTATGGCGGGGTTTAAATAGTGTTGTCAAAATAGGTTTTAACCCGCGAGCCAACTCGGCTCACCACGGGTTTGAGCCGGGTTGGGTTTGAAAAAAATGAAATTTTTTTACGGGCTAGTTTTCAACCCGGCTCACTTAGAACTCAGCTCACCGGGTTGAATCCTTGATGAGCCGGGTTGGCTCGCTAATCCACCTAATTTAATTTAATTATTTATTATTTTGTGTTTTAATATTATTAATTAGCATTTTCTTATTATATTGTAGATGGTAATAAAGAAGAAGATGTCTCAAAGAGAAAAATATTATAGATTTATCTATTCAAGACTCTAATATTATATATGGACAAATGATACAAAAATTATCAATATTAAAAACTTATTTGTTCGTCTTTTGTACATGTTTTTCGCTTGGATTGTATGATACTTTTTTTTTATATTTTGAATTATCTTTAGAGTTTAACATCATTTTAGTGTGACGTTTATTTAGATTTAAATTAAAAAAATTATATTTTTTTATTTTAAAAAAACTTATAATTAAATGAGCCAGTGAGTCAGCCCGTTTAACCCATCAACCCGTGGTGGGTCGAGTCATGTTCGAAGTTTTTCAGCTCGCTAATAAGTAAACCGGGTTGGGTTGACTCACTAAGTTACCAACCCGTGGTGGCCGGACAGGATTGAGTCGGGTTACCCGTTTTGACAACTCTAGTTTTAAACATTCAATCATAGGAACATTCTAAGAAGAAGGCTCTTGATACTGATCTCAAGCTTTTTTTATGTTTAATACATCATTTGATCCGTAATTTTTGGGTTTTTGTTCAAAGTCGTCCTATGTTTTAAAAAAGTTCAGTTATGCCCCATTTTTCGTTAAAAAATGTTCAAAATTGTCATTTTGGCTTACGACGTTAAAAACATAACGGTGTAATTGCCACCGTAGCCAAAAATGGATGACCTGTGCACTTATTGATTGTGTGGCAATGTGAAGTGAATTGACTTGGTGGAAATGTTTTAAGTTGAAGTTATTGGGTAAAAGAAAAGGGTTAGGGTTGGTGAGGGTTTGTGCAACTTCTTCCCTTTTTTGAGAAAAGTGGTTGTGGGTAGATAGAAATGACTTCTTCCCAAGGTTGTTCTTCTTGTTCCAATACATGGTCGGAAAGAATTTCGCATTCCTCACATGATGGTGGTTGAAGGGGAGGTGGGATAATCCCTCGTTGCAAATGTGGTAATTTTACTGTAAGGAAAGTGGCCAAAACTCCACAGAATGCTGGCAGACAATTTTGGGGATGTCATCATTACAAGGTTTTATGAATACCCTTCTCACTTAATTTGGAATTTATTTTTTCATAGATTGCTGAGTTAGAACCAATTTTGGTGGCTTATTTGGTGAATAACAGGGTGAATCTTCAAGAGGGATGTACTGTAACTTTTTCAAGTGATGTAAGGAAGAAAAAATTGACAAAAGAGATGGTGAAATTGTCAGAGAAAGGATAAAATTGTTAATTGGATGTGTGTGTTGTTATTGCAGTGAACATTGTGACAATGTGGGTCTGTTTAGGTTGATGTTTGTAGGTGGGTCAATGTTTATGTTCATGTAATGTGAAGGTGAAACTCAATGTTTACGTTCAGGTGTAGGTGTTCATGTAATGTGAAGATGAAGCTTAATGTTTACGTTCAGGTGTTTATATGTAATGTTAAATTTAGTTTTCCCTTTGGTCAAAAAATGTACAATGTGGTCCCCTTTTCAATTTAAAACTGTGTACTTTAGTCCCAAATGGATATCAACGAAAACACATGAAAGATATCTGACTTAGTTTCCAACATTGGTTTCCACCTCCAGTCCACCATCTCTGTCCACCTCCTTTCCACCATTAGTTTCCACCTCCAGTCCATTATCTCTGTTCACCTTCACTCCACCATCCACCTCCTCTCCACCATTATTTCCACCTCCACTCCATTTTCACCTCAAACCCTAACCCCCAAAACCAAGAACAAGAACATCAAGTAAGTAGGCTAGGGCTAGCAACACTTACCTCACTTACGTAAGCTCTTCAATTTCACTTTCAAGGAATCACCACGCCGCAGTGACTACTAAGACTAGTTTCACCAGATTGTTAAATCAGAAATCGTGATAGGATTCTTAGATAAGGGTAATTTGATTTAACCCATTTCGTTAAACCTAGCCGATGTCATTATATTATTTTAAAAAAATTTACACATTCAAATATATCATATGTGTAACGTATTGCAAAAACTTTACACGTCATTCAGTTTTAGTCACAGAGACAACTGTATCGATATGTTTTTAACGTCGTAAGCCAAAAAGACCATTTTGAACATTTTTTAACGAAATATGGGGTCTAACTGAACTTTTTTAAAAGGTAGGACGACTTTGAACAAAAACTCTAAAACTAGGAACAAATGATGTATTAAACTTTTTTTTATGGTGGAAACATAAAGTTGAAAAATAAAGGAAAAAAATGTAATTATGGAAGAAAAAAAATGTAATCACCTCACAACACTACAGTATATGAAAACAGAAATAAGATGCACTTAACAAATTTAAAACAGAGTATAAAAAACTCCCTAAGTTTAGGAATCAGTTGATGACTTAACTGAACTATTAAAAATATTAATTAAATTTCAATTATTAAAAAGCACGAATTTAACGTAAGTAACAATACCCACCTACCTGCTGTTTTTAAGGTTTTGAGTGTATTTTCTTCAGAAGAACCTGACATGCTGTTATATAAATTCTGAGAAAAACTTTTGCTTTATGAAATACAACACAAAACTTGCAATAAACAATTATATTGTGTACGATTCTCAAATTGCTTTGACAATTTCCTTGCCAAAGTCACTTTCATTTGTAGCTGCTGATTCAATCATGTTGTATCATACCTGCTTCAGTTTCATCAGTTTTAGCTTCTTTGTATTTCTTGTATAGGTCACTTCTGTAGAATCGTTTGGTCCTAAAGACCAAAATGAGTGACAGAAGTGCCCCAAACAAGCTAACTGCAGTGATTATAATGAATGCTAACTTGAAGCACTCCTCCCCATTGCAGTTCAGCTCCTCCCCTGGACTTGTCTTTTTCCCCATAGCTTCCATTTGCCTCATGGCTTCCCTGTCATACAGATACCCTACAACCCTCACACTGAGCAAGTATGACCCAATTGGACCTACCAGTGACCCTAAATTGTACAGTGTTGAATAATGTTTGAGGCCAAAAAGTTCAGATATAACAGAATACATTAATGGCCAATTAGCCCCATAGCAGAACCCAATAACAATTGAGGCTACATAGAGACCATTTGGGACATTGAAGGCAACTAAAAGATGACCTACACAAGATAACAAAAGCAATGATGTGAGCAAGAGAGGCCTAGGGACTCCATATTTGAGTATGATAAACTCTGAGACAACCCCTTGAACCACCTTACCTAAATAGATCCAAATGGATGTAAGAGAGACAAATGTGGTTATGGTATGAGAAGGATATCCTAATGAAATTCCAATTTGACTCAAGTTGTTTATCATTGTAACGTTGCTACCAAGTGAACATATAGTAGTTAATAAGAGAAGCACCATGTCAAGGCTAAATGTGGCTTGAAGTATTGTATGATCTTCACCTCTTGCTGGGGGGTTGAATATGTTTTCCCAAAAGGAGATTTCTGCTTGGGGAGCCTGGGAAGACTTCTCTTGATAAAGATTTTCTGTAGCTATGTTTGGATAGTTTTCCAGGAGCTTCTGACTATCTTCCCTATTGATGTTTTCAAGCTTACTCTTCCAAATCTTGTGTTCTTCCAAAATAACAACAGAAAGTGGAAGGATGAGCAGAAGAAGCATCAAAGTGGTAGTAATCTGATACTCAAACTGAGAGAAAGTGAAAAATTGTTGTACTAAAGTTACAAACATGAGGAACCCTGCAAGGACTAATGTCAGATAGAGGAACCTGTATAAAACTTTGGTGTCATTTGGCTGTTGAACACTCTTGTGGATTCTGATAACTGGAAGAAACAGAAAAACTGCAGCAATTGGTAGCCATGCCATGAGAAAAATGAGGAATTTGGAGTCATCTCCATACAAGGCATAGTATAGCTGAGTAATTATTACTGCACTTAAACCTGTATACCCAGTCAAAAGGCCTAAGACTACTCCTCTGCTGATAGGGAAGTTCTTTACACTGGTCACAAGAGCTCCAGTGTTAGTTGCACAATGAGAATTGGCTCCAATGAAAAGGTAGAAGCACATATGCCACACATGGGGCTTTGCAATTTTGCTGGTGACAACAAGCCAAATCATAAAATACCCAGCAAAGTTGAGAATCCCACCAATTGTTAAGATAAACCAAGGTGGTGTGACCTCATAGATTAGGCCCGCATGAATGCCTATGTTGGCTCCCAAATCCTGGAAGAAGCTTAATAGATTGAGAGTGGATTGATCATAACCAAGAACTAACTTGATATCTTGTGAGAATAGGCTAAACATGTAGCTTGCTCCTGACACTGACATCAACATAAATGATGAAAACATCATGAACCACCTCCCTGTAAGAAGTTGGAGTGAAAACCCTTTGATGCTTCCCCAACTAAGTTCATCACCTCTCCCATATGCTGTAGAGAATACCATTTTTCTCACTTCTTAAACAAGGTTTTCAATTACAAACAATCATATATACAACTCAAGACCCTTGGAAACCTTAAAGTTGCTGTCACAGAAATTGTAGTCAATGAAACTAATTTAAAACTAGAATTTTAGAGAATACTGATACCAAGAATCGTCGAGAAGATTCAATACTGATAAAACATAAATCTTATAGATTCATACCATTTATAACGCAAAATCTTTAAAGACAATAGATTTATAATTCTTTACATGATGTTCGTTTTTCTCATTTCTACTATATCTAGATATAGACTCCCACTTAGATATCCCTAAAGTTGCATAATAAGCAACAGATATAACTGGTAAGATGTTGACCCTCCACCAAACTGAACCAGAGGACATGAAAGTTTTAGCCTAAATGCAATTGCTAATCGTTTAGCCTTCAAAACTATTTGTGTTTTAATCTAAACGATACAAAAGCAGAAGAAAAATCTTGGAATCGTAATAATTTTGGAGCAATTATTGGAAATAATGGTGGGTGCTCACTTTCTTATCTGTTCTCAGAACAATGATTGCTGCTTGAGATAAGTATAGTCAACAAAAACTCGGCGCAATATCAGTAGTGAACTCTTATCACGTTAAAAACTAATAATCAATAAAGTACAAATAGATATGTTGGGATTGATGAAGTTCATAAGAATCATATTTTCAAGAATTACGTGTATTCCCTTTACATTAAAGAAAAAAACCATTGCCAATTCAACTCCCCTAAAGTTTGGGATAATTTACAAGTTTCTTTAAGCATTCTTTAAATGAATTTTTCATTACTAACACATTTTTAAAAAAAATTTCCCTAGTAGAATAGTATATAATTTTAAAAGTTATTGTGCAAGTTTAAAAAATTTGCTGTAGGAAGATCTGAATTACGAATTGTAATTAGAAAGAGGTTGAATTCATAACTATTTTTGTTAAAGACAAAATGATCTAAGTAAACATTGTTTTGAAATTTAAGCAAATGCCTGAACGAAATAGTTTCTAGAGGTTTTGAATTGCCTAGGATAAAATATACTAAACACTATAACTTAACTATCTTAAATACTGTGAAGAACTTTAATAGAGCATCTAATCTAAAAATTGTTAAGGCTAAATCATCTAGAATAATCACTAAACGCTATATATTTAATATTATCCTAAACTATGTAAGTTACTTAAATAGACAATGTCTAAATAATAATACACGTATTATGTTTAAACGTTTAGATCGTCTAATGCTTTAAAGCATATACCTTCTAGTTCTTTATTTGTTGTGTTGTAGTTTCTTTTTCTATTCATATCACTATCTTTTTTCAAAATCAGATCATAAGAACATTTAGACTTTGTTCACTTGAATGGATTTGGGAGAGAGTGATTGAATGAATTTGAGAGGATTTGAAGGTAAATTTTTTGTTGTTTATCTGAGTGGATTTGGAGGTAAGTGAGAGTGGATTTGGAAGTAAATTAGTGTTGGATTTGATTGATGTGACAAATTTAAAAAAATTTCATGCTTTCCGCATGTCTTTTTCGTATAGACAACATAGTTACTCTATCAAGACGCAACATAGTTTTTGACTCAATACCATAAAAGCGACACTCTTAAAAGAAAGTCAAAAGCTTTGAATAACAGATCTTTTTCGAAGAAGTATATATAAAGAGGATTGTATCAAGAGAAGAGAATAAGAATTATTATGATTGAATACGCTAAAGTTGTCTCTTTCTTTACAAGTTTTCAAAATCATATTGTATTGATTTCAAATTCTCTATAAGAGAGTTACAAATTTTGTTCTTGTAATTATGCAAAAAGCTTTGTATTTTTTGTTAAGATATATGTAAATATATTTTGTTATTATATTTTAGGTAAGCATATATTTAGTTTATAATTAGTTTCCTAAATATATGTCTTATATTATTTGTTACCTAATTAGTTTTCTAAGATCATTGTATTTATTCCAAGTCATGAGATTAATTAGGAAAATATTATTTTATGGTATAACATCTCTAGGACATTTTCGTTTCTTTTTCATTCTCATTCATCTATCTTATTTCTTCTTCTCACAACCATGACGGACAACAAGAGTTCTTTCCATCCAGCTCTTGCAATTTCCAATATATGGAAACATATCTCCATCACTCTTGAAATAGAGAATGTCCAATACGCTACATGGGTAGAACTTTTTAAAATTACCACATGTTCTCATAAGATCCTTCATCACATTCTACCAATGGCAAAGAGAAGGTACCTTGTGATTGAGGATGAAAAGAAATTATGGTCGACTCTTGATGCTACTGGTTTTATGCAACCATCTCCAATGACATGTTGCATACAACTATTGAACATGATGTCACGATCATGGATGTTTAGAATATGTTGCAAGATATTTTCCAAGACAACAAACATTCTCGTGTGGTAACTCTTGAGGCCGAATTCTCCAATACTAAGATGGAGAATTTTTCGAATTCGACATATTGTCAACGTCTCAAGTCCCTCGTTGATCAGTTGAAAAATGTTGGAACACAAGTGTCGGAGAGCCGCCTCGTCATTCAACTTGTTTATCTGAGCATTCATTAAATGAAATTTTCACCACAAATACATTTTTTAATTTTTTTTTTCAAGTAGAATACTATACATTTTAATAACACAAATAGCATAGATTATTGTGCAAGTTCATAAATAATCTATTTTAATGTACTTACTAAATATTTTTGCATTGATGAAATTGGTTTATAAATTAGTTATATAATTATATATGTTGGCAAGTAATTTATTAGCATTAAAACGTACATATTTTTGTGTTAATGTAGTTTATAATATATTCAAATAAAGTAATAATTTAGTCATTTGCGTTACCAAACACGTTTGATAATCTATAAGATCCTCCGACCTACCAAAGAGATCAATCTTTATTGACAGTTAATTTTTGTAATTTTTAAAACTATTTTACGTACAAGTTGTTAACATATTTAAAATTTTAAATTGTTCAAGCACGATCTATCATTGACCAAACTTTAGTTTTTCTCTAGATCTCTATAATTGAATTAGTTTAGTCTAAAATCAAACAAAAAAGTACTTTTTTTTTAAATAACTTATCTTATAATTGATATAAAACTCATCCTTCTACTCAACTACATATATAATAGACATAAAAAAAATAATGTTTGATTCAAACTCTATCATAAGTTATTATTATGATGTTGACCTTGTCACTTAAACAAACCCTAGAGTTCCATCTTCCCAAAGTGCAATGGAAGATCCTTCCATGTGCCTTCTGATCATACATCATTACAGGTAAGTTTTAATTATTGAATTTTATTATTAAGTTTTTAACAGTTAAATGTATTTGCCTTTAATTTTTTTTTCATGAAATTTGAAAAAAAAAAATGAATACAAGTATAAAAATAAAATAAAATTTAAATCTATTACTCCAGAGGGAATACCACAAATGCAGCTATTTATTCCCTTGCATTCTTATATTTTATTGATAATATATGGTTTATGCTTGACGTTATCAGTTTATCTATAAAAGAATTACAATTTGTATTCAGCCTATAAATATATCAGTTCTTTAATATTATAAATTAATGATAAAATAATAATTTTTATTATGGAGTCAGATTAATCATTTAAATTACAATTTATTAAAACTTAATAACATAATATAATTATATTATTTTCTAAACATTTAAGAAATAAATCAAAACTTTCTTTTTATTTAAAAATAAAATTAAAAATATTTCACACATTCGAAAATAATTTACGCCTACACGCTAATTTTTGGTTCTATTTGATAGTTTCAAATAATTTAGTCTATTAAAATATGATTTATTATGTTTTATTATGCTTTTACTATTTTTCCACCAATATGTTGTTAACATTAAAATAAATAATTATTTTAATGATGCAATCCCCTCACAATCCTATATCGTATTTCAAAATATATAAAAAATGTATATATATATATATATATATATATATATATAAATGCAATTTTTTACAGAAATAGTCCTAAATAAAACCTCAATTCCTTTCACGACACAACTATTTAAATTATTGAAATAAATTTTTAATAGAATAAGACAGTTTTAATTAACAAACTTCGGCAATTTACGTTCATTTAAAAATCATCATACCACAATTACACATGAATTTATACATAAAAAATATTAATTGAAGTCTTTCTATTAAATACATCCCACCATTTTATTTAGATAAATACTTATATTTACAAACAGATATAAAAATAATGAATCAAAATAAAAATTGTTTTGTAGCAACTCAGCCCAAAATCCAATCCAGTGTTTTTCTTTCACCCTTTTTTTTTCACAATTGATTGTTGGTCCGCCACCTCCAAACACCCTTCTTCATCCTTTTTTTTCATCTAAAACACCCACGCGGATCACTCATCTTCACTCTCCTATTTTTTTCGCATACCACACATCATCACCTTCCGAGAGCTGCTGCAACAGACGGAAAAAGAAAAAAAATTTCATAAAAAAAAACGAATGTTTGCTATTTTTTTCTACTCCCTTTCCAATACAATATACACATTTTATAATATATATCTATATATATATATATATATATTTGTAATATCTCAAAATATAATATAAAATTATTTAATAGTCATTATACATATTTAATATAAAAAATTACTTAAGAGAAAAAAATTATAAAGTTACCGTTATCTAAAATAATCATAACTTTATATAAAAATTAAGTAAACAAAACTATGTATAACTAATGGTACAAGATATCAGCTTCTTCTTCTTCCAACTCCTATTCCAAAGAAACATCATTCCTCTCTACTCACATACCATATGATCATAGCAAAGAAAGATTCAAAGAAATATACAAACAATCATAAAGAAAAGAGTAAGTTAAAATACAAACCATTAATATAAGTGTTTCGGGTATAGGGTTGAAGTCCCTTACTCAAAACAATACAAGTTGTCTTCAAGACCAGACGAGCTCCCCAGTTGTCCTCCATCTTCCAAGCGATGTTGTTTGTTCTCCCTCCTCCTTGTCCAAATCGTGTGGGTGAGTATCTGTCAAAGGCACTCCGATGCTCAAGTTAGTAATATAACCAAACGGTTGACACAACAAATAATGCATA